GCCAAGGTTCCTTTCTTCTCTCATTCTTAGACCCTCCTAAGGATTCCACATTGAAGGGCATCCTTCCTTCTTTTCTACATTGTTTGAACATATCCTGGAAATGCTGGAGAGAGCAGGGTGGGGCTGTGCCTCAGATTCATCAAAGTAAGAGGGAACATTGTCCCACTTTTGACACTATCTTTTCCTTTTCCAGTTTCATTTTGTTTTGTTCCTGAGGAAGATTTGCCTTAAGCGAATATCCAATGCCATTCTTTGTCTTTTTGTACATGAGCCGCTGCCACAGCATGGCCACTGGCAGACGAGTGGTGTGGTTCCATGCCCGGAAACTGAGCTCGGACCAAGGAAGTTGTGGGCGCTGAACTTAACCACTAGGCCCCTGGGGCGGGGCCCCTTTCCCAGTTTCTTTATACAAAGCTTCTAGGTGACTGTTTCTACCATCTCCAAAGGCTACAAACACAGATATTTCACCTTATGCTTGTGGTTTCTCACAAAAACTTTCTCTACATCTACATTTGTTCTGAGTTCTTAACTATGTAGCTAAGGAAAGGAAAAGCTTCAGGTACATTTAAGTTTATTTTTCTAAATTCCTCTTATTATGAAAGGCATCATTCCCAAAGAAGTGCACGTGAAATGAATATTCACAACTTAAGGAAGAATAATAAATGAAAACCACATCCACCCACTGCTACATCTGCCCACCCACAGCCTCTGCATCCAGCCCAGTCTCCAATTAGTCACTGTGCTGCAGTTGGTGTTAATCATTCTGTTGTTTCTGTACATTCTTTCCTGGCACCTTCCTAGGTTGCAACCCCAAACGACAGAGTTTGAAACAGTGGGAACTAGCACAAAGCCAGCTGAGCGATGAAAGGATAATCTGTATATCAGGGGAGGCCCCAGGAGACACTGACCCTGCCAAAGTCTCGTTCTCAGTCTTGGGTGAGGGTTCCCTGGGATCTACTGGAGCCCCTCCTGAAGATGGCAGACAAGGCCCCAGAGGAAGAGAAGGGACCCCTAGACTTGTGCATGTGTCCTTGCTGGATGTGGGAAGGTCCTGAGTCTCCAGCAGCAATACTGTTAGAGATTAGCTGCTGCACATTTGCTGCTACTCAGCTTCGCGTGGACTCCAGGAGTAGTCTGGGATCACTTCACTGGGAGGAAGAGAAAGAGGTGATTCTTTGCTGTTGGGGACACCAGAGAATGGCTTATGTGAAGGCAACCCTAGTGCAGGCAGGAAAGTACAAATGAGAATCCAGGCCACTCAGACCTGAACATTACAACATGGTGTCATTGCTGTCAGTACCTAAAACATATGCTTCCTCTTAGATGAGTCTTTGCATCTATTGCCTATCAGGGAAAGCATCAATGGACGTGACCATTAGAGAGAGGTGGGTAGAGGCTAAATTGCTTGTGAGGAACACAGGGTTCTCCTCATGATCCCCACAGACTCCACTCTGCTTGGTCTCACCTCGTCTAGAGAAGTGAGTTTTACCCTCTGTGCAGGGAGGGGTAGTGGGCAGTGGTCTACCAGCCACACTACTGGGAGGAGAGAGGATGTGGAGATCCACCTGATTCTGTAGCAGCTGCCACTTATTTTAATGTTCAATTTATATCAACTCATCACTTCCACATTCACAACTGGGGGAGAATTAAAAATGGTATTTCAGGGGCCGGCCAAGTGGCTTAGCGGTTAAGTGTGCCCGCTCTGCTACTGGTGACCCGGGTTTGGATCCCAGGCGCGCACTGATGCACCATCTCCGGCCATGCTGAGGCGGCGTCCCACATACAGCAACTAGAAGGATGTGCAACTATGACATACAACTATCTACTGGGTATTTGGGGGAAAACAAAAGGAGTAGGACTGGCAACAGATGTTAGCTCAGAGCCGGTCTTTCTCAGCAAAAAGAGGAGGATTGGCATGGATGTTAGCTCAGGGCTGATCTTCCTCGAGGTAAAAAATAATGGTATTTCACGTTGTAACTTTTACAGCCGTGGGACTGGGCTTTGTCAAGTCTAAGTCAGTTAGCACTTGTCAACATGCATCCTGGCTTATAGTTTGTGTTGTTGGTATCCCTGTTCCTTAGTGTCTTACAGAAAACTCTGACATATGACTATGACCTTCAATATATGTTTAGTGGGGTGTAGGAAGAACAGACGTATTGGGTGTTCATTTAATTTCACACACAGTGGCCAGAGTGAGGATCTTCTTGTGACTGGAGTTTGTGTTGCGAAGGTTGGGGAGAGAAAACAGAGAAAAAAAACAAAAACCAAAAAAAACTTGATAGGTTTCTCAAGGAACAAACTTCTTTAGTTGACCTTTTACTAATAAATCAATAAACTGTAAAGCCACAGAGGGGTCTGTAAAGTGTCTAAACAAAGAAGAATTGTTTATAATGAGCCTTGAGCTTGTTTTCTTAGGCTTGGGGTCTGTTGACCATCTGGAGATGTGATTCCTTTCTGTAATTCTGTCTCTTCTCTTGGGAACACCAATTACATGTGTATTTCGTCACTTGAAGTGGTCTCCCATTTGCTGATAATACTCCATGTTATAAAATTCATTTTTTCCCTCTGTATTTACCGTGGACAGCTCCATTGCTATGATTTGGAGGTCACATGTTTATTCCCAATGACCAATCTGCCCTTAATCACATCCATTGCTGTTTTTATTTGTAGTACTTCCATTTTGTGCTTCATTGTATCTTTTACTGCTTGCCTGAGAATTTCTATCTTTCGATTCTGTCCAGAAGCTTTGTTCTAATTTCTGGTATCATTTTTTAAAGGCTCTTTTGAAATCTTTCTTAGATAACTCCAACATATCTCTCAGTTTTGAGTTAGCCTCTGTTAATGATCATTTCCATTGTAGCTAACCTTTTCCTGGTTCTGCATATCTTAAGTGGTTTTGGATCCTATCCTGGCTAAATCCAATATTTTGGATGAAACTATGGGTCTTGTTTAAATCATATTTTAATATTTCTGTATTAGCCGTCAATCTGCCTAGTTGTGTCCTGGATGTTGGTTCTCATTCTTTTTGTTAACTGTGGTTTCTATGTCAGGAAAATTTATAATCATTGTTTTTTTTTGGATGGGATGGTTCGCCCTGAGCCAACATCTATTGCCAATCATCCTCTTTTTTTTCCTCCCCAAAGCACAAGTACATAGTTGTATACTCTAGTTGTAAGTCCTTCTAGTTTTTCTATGTAGCCACCACCACAGAATGGCTACTGACAGATGAGTGGTGTGGTTCCGTGCCCGGGAAACTGAGCTCAGGCCAAGGAAGTGCCATGTGCAAACTTTAACCACTAGGCAATCAGGGCAACTCTATAAAATTTTTGACCTACTATTGGGATCTGTCCTAAGTGTGAGCTACACAGTAGCTCATCTTGGATCTGGGTCGTTGTCTATCCCTAAAATCTTTTCCTAATATCTTTCTTATTATATTAGTATCCATGCAAATGCAGCTCAGAGGGGAGCCTAGGGATCATAAATAATTTTCTGGATTACTTTCCAAGCTTCTTCCACTCCACAATCTCCACAGCATTTCTACCTTCCTGGTCTTGACTTTTTCGATTTTTGACCAAAGCAAATTTTTACTCTAGCTACTCTGCACTGTTAGGCACCTCCTGTGACAGGGCCTGTGTCCATGCCAAGTAGTGGAATGACAAAGAGAAACAAATGCAATGGTTTGATTGTCACCTTGTTGGGAAAAATGTTCCTAAGGAGAAAGGACTGCCTCCATGGCTTCCACTGTCACTATTGTCACCACAGGAGACTTGCCCGAGACTGGGGCATGGGAAATGAGAAAAAAAACAAAAGGAAAGGAAAATGTGAATACCTTTTATTTGTTCTGAGCACTAGGAGCTCTCTTTTTCATCTTCAGGCCAGAACAAGGGAACTTCTCCTGCAGCTCTTTCTGCCTCACGCTGGTGCCCTTTCCAGCTTTCTGTCTGCCTTGAGTCTGGGCCACGGGACACTGAAGGAAAAATGGGAAACTCACATAGAGTCGATGAGATTGCAAATACCAATGTCTTCCCACTGTCTGCCTTGTATGAATTAACTTTTCTAGGTACTGAAATATCTCCCTCATGCATTCTGTTGAGGTTTTATAGCTGCATTTGGGAGAAAAGGGTGGTGCACGCTTACCACACCTTAAATAACACCTAAATAACCTGATAAAACTATTGGTGCTCTTTGTCCCCCCATGGGGCTCCCTCACACCTGTGCTCCTGCTCCTTCATGTAGCATGTGGGTGAGTGGCCGGGAAGTGACTGATTGCCTTGTGAAATTTGATGGTGCAGGTGCTTCAGAACAAAGTAATAGGGGTGGAGATGTGACAAGATTGCAGCTAGGAGACCCCACCACCGCCCATCAACTACCAGATAGCAGGTGTTTCCCTGGGGGTGGGTAGCGACACCTTCCTAACAGTAGAGAGATCCTGAAGACAGGGCAGCGAGCAGAAGACACAGAAAGGAGTGCCCCCGGACCTGGGATGATCGCAAGAGCAGAGTCAAATCACAGCAGAGACTCTGATGGACCAGGAGCTCATTAACATGAGGGACACCAGCTGATTTTTCTCTCTTGTGTAAATCAGGTAGAAATTCAAGGTCCTGATCTTCAGAAAATACACGTCAAATGATTGAATCTCTTCAGAGAAGCTGTCCAGGATGCAGAAGTATCTAGAATCAAGGACCAGGTCAGAGGGGCTAGGAGAGGCAGGTCAAGAAGCAGATTTGCATGGAGGTCCCTCCCTCCTCTGAGGCAGCGGGAGGGGATAAGAGAGGTCTGGGGGAGCTAGGCCCAGACTGGTGTCTCAGAAGGCAGTGCTCTTGGGACGTCTCCACCACCGCCTAGGCTCTGCTTCTCCTCACCCTCCTCACTCAGGGCACAGGTGAGTCCTTCAGGGAAGAGACCACGGGGACAACTGGGCTAATCCTTAGTCTCCTCTTCCTCAGCTTACCTGGGGACCCAGCACTGAACTCACCAGAGTGTGTTTTTCCTCTTTGCAGGTTCCTGGGCCCCATCTGCCCAGAGTCAGCCTCCTTCAGTGTCCGGGGCTCTGGGGCAGTCAGTCACCATCTCTTGAGCTGGAAAATGCAATGATATTTGGGGTTATGACTGTGTTTTCTTGTACCAACTGCACCCGGGCACAGCCCCCAAGCTCCTGATTTATAAAGTCCATACTCAGGCCTCAGTGATCCCCGCTCGCTTCTCTGGCTCCCAGTCTGGCAACATGGCCTCCCTGACAACCCTGGGCTCAAGTCTGAGGAAGAGGCTGATTATTACTGTTGCTCATATTCGAGCAGTTACACTTACCACAGTGGTCCAAGGTTGTGGGAAAGTGACACCAAAACCTCCTCTGAACTCACTCTAGTCCCTTCACCTCTAACTCCGTCTGTCTTCTATTTTTTTCTTTCTTTTTATTTTATTTTGAAATTATTGCAAACTTAAAGAAAATTTCAGAAAATAATATAAAGACTCCTACATATCCTTTTCCCTGATTCACCAAGTTTTTACATTTTGCCATGTTTGCTTTTCATTATAACAATAACTCTCTCTTTGTCTCTTTTTAAAGAGATTTAAAGATTTAAAATGTATCTCTGTCATTTTAAATCAGCCCTACAAAAAACTCCTCAGCCATCAGAAATCACTCCCCATTGTCCACTTCCTCAACCCCTGCAAACCACACGTTAGTCTGTGGATGTGCCTCTTCCAGCCACGTCACATATAGGGAATCGTAGATGATGTGGCCCTTTGTGTCTGGCTTCTTTCACTTGTCATCATGTTTTCAAGGATCATCCGTGTTGGAACATGTATCTGTACTTCATCTGTGTCTATCACTGAATAATAGTCAATCGTATGGATACTCTACAGTTGTTCATCCATCCACCAGTTGATGGGCTCATTCATTTTTGCTGTCTCTTCTTCTGTCTCAACCGAAGGCACAGTGACCCTTTTGAGATCCAGGGCATGAAAATCTTACATTGACATCATTCCTCATAAAAAAATACAAATATTATATTCAGTCTCAGAGAAATCTTTATATTCTTCTCTCATTCTGGGAGCCTCCCAGGGATTCCTCACTGAGCTGCATCTTTGCTCCTTTTCCACCTGCTGTCTGGACATGCCCTGGACGTGCTGGACAGGTCAGGGAGGGGGTCCTGGATCTGGGCCTCAGCTTCATCAGAACAGTATGATACGGTGCCTTGTTCAGCCATTGGCTCTGCCTTTTTATTTTCCAGATTCTTTGTTCAAGGGTTCTGGCTGACTTCTGTCTATCAACATTTGAAAAATCCAGTCAGTTTTTCACTATTTCTCATTAGTTTCTCCTTGAAACTTTCTCCACTTCTACATTTGTTCTGAGTCCTTGTCTATGTAGTCAAGGAAAGTTAAAGAATGCAGATACTTTCACTTTATTTTTCTAAATTCCATTTATTGTGAAGTGTTTCCTACCTTAAAAGGAGTGCATGAAGTGAACAGTCACTATTTATGGAAGGAAAAGAAATGGAAACTGCAAGTAGTCACCCAAAGCTTATCCACCCATGCCGATCTCCAAGTAGCCAGTATCTGAATTTGATGTCCATCATTCCATTGCTTTGCGTTCATTCTTGCCAACTCTATCTGCATCCCTAAATAATATAGATTATAATCCTGACACAGTGATTAGTAAACACGAACAAGCTGAGGAGGGAAAGGACACAGTTTGCAAGGATGTGCCCCACAGGAGACATTAGTCATATCAGAGACTCAGGCTCAGTGTCTGGCTGAGCTTCTCTTGGAAATTACCAGAGAATTAGAAATTACTGAGAATTAGATCATCAGGGGAGCCCCCAGGGGAAAGACAGGGATCTAAACAGTCAGGCATCATCACTGATGGTGAATGGGCCAGGTACCGGGCATCTAGAAAGAATCTTCTCAGAGGATTAGGTACCCCACATTCTCTGCTTCTCAGATCAGCATGTTCCTCCAGGAGTAGTCCAAGATTACTCTCTGGGAGGAAGAGAGGGTAAGTTAGTATTCTTGGCTGATAGGGACACTGTGGTATGGTCATGATGAAGACAAACAGATAATATTCCAAGTCGTTCACAACACACATCACATCCTCTGGTGTAGAGATGTTCTCATTGCTGCCTGCAACTTGGCAATGTCAGTTCTTCAGAAATAAGCTGGGCTTTTTGTCTGGAGAGAAGGGTCTAAATGAGGGACAATGAGTGGAGGTAGGTGGTCCCTGAACCCACCATTCATGAGGCACACAGTGTTCTCCTCATGATACCCACAGGGTCCACTCTGCCTGGACTGCCCTCATCCGGAGGTGTGGGCTGTGTCCTCTGCAAGGGAAATCCTAGGTGGAGGAGGGTCTATTTGCCAGTGGTCTACCTGCCTCACTACTGGGAAGGACAGAGGGTCTAGGGACCTACCTGCTTCTCTAACAGCTCCATTAACCTGTTCTAACATTAGTCTTCCCCTCACCCATCTCAGCCACATCCACAGTCAGGTGAGAATTCCACAGGGATCTCAGGTGGGCTCTGCCTGCAGACTTGGGACTGGTCTCCCTCAGGTATAAGTCAGGTAACATGTGTCCATCTGCTTCCTGGCCCCTGAGTGTGTGTCCTTTATGCTCCTCTTCCTGACATACTTGTTTGTGAGCACACATTATAATCCCTCAGGACAGTTTTAGTGGAGTTTCAGGTGGACACACTCAGGTGTGTGTTCACTCACTTTCAATCCAGTGACCTAACCTGTTACTGCCTGGGTGCATTTTCTCTGCAGTCCCCCAGGCTCTGCAGCAATAGGTCTTCTGGGATGTCAGAACCAGGACCCAGCAGTCACATGGGTTGAGTGAGAAGTAGCCTTGAGATTGGAGTGTGTGTCCTGAGGATTGGGAGAGTAAATGAGAGAAGGATATTTGTTGATGGAATCTTCAAGGAACAAACCTCTATTGTTGACATTTTACTAACAGCTGAATAGTCATGGAGGAGAATGTGGGTTCCAGAAATTCTTCTGTCGAAAAATTAATATTGTTTATGATGAAACTTAGTGTGGTTTTCTTCGTGTTTCTTGGACTTTGAATTCATTGACTCTTGTCTCGGTGAGTTACAGTTTTCACTGGACTGGAGAGTGTTTTTGCCATAATTTCTTCCTCTGCTTCTCCTTTCATGACTCCGGTTCCGGGTATAATAGGACGTTTGACGTTATCACACAGCTCACTGATATTTTCCTTTTTTCCCTCATTTTCAGTTTCCTCTTTTTCATATGTTTTCTTTTGATTCCTTTCTCTTGCTCTACTTTCCAAGTCCTAACATTTTCTTCTGCAATGTCTAATCTCATTTTAATAGCATCCACCACAGTTGTCATTTCTCACAGTTCCAATTCATTCTTTTTTGTGTCATTGATTTCTTGGTGGAAACTTCTTTTCATTCATTTCAACAGTGTTCTGCCTTATTACTTGGATCATTTTTATGATCGCTGCTGTAAAGCTTCAGTCACAGAATTCCAACTGTAGTGTTATCTCTAGGTAATGATGCTTTCCTTTTCTTTCCCACGTCAGGTGAGATTTTTCTTTTTGTTATAAGTTAAGTGATTCGGGTTTTATTCTGAACATATCCAATATGATGTAATGAAGGTCTAGGTCTTCCTTAAATACTATGATTATATTTTTGTATTGGCAGACAATTTACTCACTTGGGTGAAGGCTGCAAATTCCAAATGGTCTTCTGTGGATTGGGGTTTCTTTGTCACTTCAGTTATACAGCCTTTTCAATGCTGTTTGCATCTTACCTGGGTGTGCACCACCGTGTGTCCTATCTGGGATCTGAGTGGTATTCCAGGCATAATTTTGTTCTCAAAATCTTGCGCATCCTACTGAGGATTCCGTTCACTCAGGTTTAGCATAGAGTTGGGGCCAGGATCTCATATACTGACACAGAGTTGCTTTCCCAAGATGACCACTCTCCACAAACCCCTTGTTCCATCCAGGCCCTTGTGCTCCTCTGTTCAGAAAACCAGCACGTTAGTTACATTGTGCAACTGGGCACTTCCTGGGTCTGCACCCATTCCCTGGGCCAGGTGGCAGGAGGATGGAGGAACCAAAGCAATGCTGTTGTGTCAATGTGCAGAAAGAGGGCAAGAGGAATAAAGTTCCTTTTCCTTTGAGAGACAGACATGTCTTGACGAGAGGTCCTTTGACCTGGAGCCTGTGGGGACAAACCTGACCCCAATTTTCTCTCTGAAACTGAAACACTGGAACATTACCCCTGTTTTTCCAGGTTCTTCTCAATCCTACTGAGCTCTCTTTCCTTCAGACAATATTTTATCTTTCATCCTTTTGATAAGCCAAAGTGTCTGTTCCTTGAACTAATTTTTTCAACCAGTCTTCCTACTGGTTTGGTTGGCTTTATGTATCATCTAATGTTTCCTCAGCCCTGAACTGAGAGCTGCCTCAGGAACACTAACTGTGTGACAAGGCCGTCCTGGCACAGACACAGTGGTCCTGAGGGGCAGTGTCTGGGCCACCTGGTGTGGCAGGTGACACATTCCATTCTGAAGGGAGTTAATGGACAAAGGAAAAGGAGCATGGAGAGGATTAGAAGGAGTCAGGGGGCCCCAGTACTGGGGTGAGAGGAGGCGAGGGGAGCAGAGCAGGGATTTCCAGCTCCCACTCAGCTGCCTTCCCTGGTGCTTGAGTTGCACTACATGCGGTCACCAGGCGGCAGCGGGGGCCTGGTTTTTGAGAGGTCATTGCTGTGGTTTACCTGCCCTGTATGAAGTCCCAACAGCTGGATCCTCCTGAGCCCCTGCAAAGGGGGATGAAGTTTGTGGGGTGATCCAAATCTATTGTGTCCCAATACATCCTTTTCTAGAAAAGCCAGTTAATGTCCACAGGACTCGGTCTCAGAGCACTTTAGAGGTAGGGGAAGGAGTGATGTGTGAAGACTCATCCTATCTGAGGGGGATAGGAAGCGAGTGAGTGAGATGACCAACCCCCAGCGCTGCCTTTGGTGCTTAGGAAGAGAATTGAATCTCTCCTAATCCCAGCCCTTCTGTAGTTTGTCCTCACCTTCTCCCCACACAGCACAAAGCGTGGAA